GTGGGGGTCTGAATTAACTGGGTCAAGTCCAAGGCCGTCATGGAAGCCAAGAACTCCTGTGCTGCCGCCGACGTCTCGCCCGCTGATGGAAGGTTGAAGTCCCCCAAGACCATAAGTCTGGGGGTTCCAACCGCCACCCCGGCTATCACGTCCGCCAGCTCAGGCAGGGCCGTTGATACATAGCAGGGAGCCAGGTATAAAGGTGGTCCTCAAGTTACAACCACAATTGAGCCAAAGATTTGTTGTTAAGTGAGACATTCGTTAAGTGAGTTTTGCCCCATTTTACAAGCTTGTTATTAAGTGAATCACTGCAGCTGATAAGTTAGGAATAGAATAGAGTAGAGTAGAGTAGAATAATGAAATGTAGAATAGAAAAGAATAGCGTAGACTAGACTAGACTAGACTAGACTAGAGTAGAGTAGAGTAGAATAATGGAATGTAGAATAGAATAGAATAGAATAGAATAGAATAGAATAGAATGGAATGGAATGGAATGGAATGGAATAGAATAGAATAGAATAGAATAGAATAGAATAGAATAGAATAGAATAGAATAGAATAGAATAATGGAATGTAGAACAGAACAGAACAGAATAGAATAGAACAGAGTAGAAAAATAGAATAACAGAGTTGGAAGGGATCTTGGAGGTCTTCTAGTCCAACCCCCTGCTCAGGCAGGAAACCCTATACCTCTTCAGACAAATGGCTATCCAGTCTCTTCTTAAAAACGCCCAGTGTTGAAGCATTCACAACTTCTTGAGGCAAGTTGCTCCACTGGTTGTTAACTCAGTTGTTAAATGAATCTCTCTTCCCCAATGATTTTGCTTGCCAAAAGATTGCAAAAGGTGATCACATGACCCCGGGATGCTGCAACCGTCATAAATATGAGCCAGTGGACAAGCATCCGAATTCTGATCACATGACCACGGAGATGCTAGAAAGGTTGTAATTGTGGAAGCGGTCATAAGTGCCTTTTTTCAGGGCCTTCGAGGATTACCTGTAGGTGTCATTTTATAAATTAGCATCACCACACTAGCAAAGGTTGGTCTAGGCATATGTGAGCCTCGTTGAAAATTGCATTGTTTGGGTGAGTCACGAATAAATGTCACCACTGGTTCTGTTGAAAGGGCTGTGCATGGTGTCGGATTCAGCTGACTTGAAAGCTTCTGAAGATCAATCTAGGGATAGTCCAAGACCAGCTCATGTAAGAATCTGATCTGGGTCAGTAATTTTGGCATCTGGTTCTACAGAAGCAAGTTTGCTTATGCAATCTGGTTCAGCATCCATTTGTTGTTTAAATGTTTTTTTTTTTAATGCACTGTTTCCAGAAAGAATCTCTTTAAAGTCCATTTTCATATTTTTCTTCAGGTGAGAACATCAGGACATGGTGTATTATTGGTTTATTGTATGGCGTTGTTACATTAGCCAGGAGACTACAATACCAATACAGAGTAGTTATTTGGCTGCTTTAAGACTGCTAACTGATTCAGTTCACACTCTCGTACTATCCACAGTGCACCACCAAGGGTGAGCTAGCTCTACCCCAGAGAGAAAGACAAATGGCATCCTGCAGCATCATCCGGGGCTTCCTCTGTCCATCAAAGTCACCTCACAAATAGGGGTCACATCTGGGAAGGTCCAGCAAGTGATGGGAGCTCACCCCGTCACATGATGCTGGGGCTCAAACCACTCCAACGAAGACCATCTCCAGCATCATTAAGCCACTAACTCATGGTGCCTCTTATCAGACCATGAAGGAAGTGGAATCACGAGGGAGTTATTTAATCATGATCTTCACATCAAACTAAGAGGGTACAAATTAAATCCACGCATGCTGAAATTTGCCGCAATCAAATTCCTCCAGCAGTCCTTATTAATATATTTTATGCAATGTAAACTATTACTTGCCAAGTTTACTGGGGATTTTAACTGGTAGAATCCCCAGTCAGTGAGAGGTGAGCTACGGTTCCCTCAAAAGTGTAAGGACAATGTTCCTTCATTTCCAAAGTTTTCTTAAGAAAAAGCATTAGACATCTGCTTTTGCTCCTGGAACTGAATCGCAACTGCATTTTCTTTCTCCCTTTATGATTCTACAATGAAACATTAGCATTTTCTTTATTGCCATTATAATTGTTCTAGNCCGCCGCGGCCGCCGAGGCCGAGGCCGCCGAGGCTGCCGAAGGCGGATAGGCCGAGGCCGCCAAAGATGGAAGGGCCTCGCCGCCGAGGCCGCCGAAGACGAAAAACGGCGAACGGCAAACGGCTGATTCCTCCCACTCCCGGGAAACTCACCAGGGGGTCTCTTCGGGGGTCTCCAAGGCCCCCCCTCTACCCATCTTCAGCTCCACCACAGCGGAGCTACGGGACGGCGTCCGCCATCTTTCGGGCATGCGCACCTTCCTTGAGGATGTTTTGGCACCTTCC